TTAATTTCCTCCCCATTTCTTTCTCCCTGCTTAATACTGATAAAATGTTCAATTTGTCTTTAATAATCAAAGCCAAATATTATATTCATATTTTCTTTATGCACGAGAGAGATAGAGGGAGAGGAAGAAAGAGAGAATATATTAACTGACAATTCTATTGTGTACAACTATGAATTGCATCCTTTTCAATATGATATCATTCGCTGCAAATATTCAGAATCTAAATATGATAAATCCACATAATACACCAACGCTGTTAACCGTATCCATCGTTCCAACCATAGACCATAATGCCCATTCACCATATTGCTCAAATATGGAGAGTTTCCAAATGAAATTTGAATTTATAAAAACAAAATATACCATGCACTAAGAGGCTTCAGTTGAAATTATAAACTCTCTGTGACTGGCTTAGCACTATAGTTTCTGAGGGACCAGTCACTGAAAATCAATAATTTTACAGGTGCCTCGAACAAAGTACATGGTACATTTGATGTATATCCTGAAAATGAAAAACTAATAATGTAAACTATAAAGAAATACATTATAAATCAATTATCAATTTACATCTTTGTCCAAAATACATATACCCCCCCCCCCCCGCTCCACACATACACACACTGTGCTTGCAAAGGGAGTTGCCCATTCCACAGTGGCTGCGTTTGTTTATTGGAGGATTGATTTTGTTGTTGTTATTGTTGATTTGAAATGTTTTTAATACTTTTTCTCTCAACAAGCAAAATCAAATAATACATTAATTGCATAATTAAGATACAAGATTGTGCAAAATTATATTACATAGAAATGAATACAATGATGATTATAACCTTATCAATACATGATAGCTTACAACAAATGTATATATGAGCACTGATTTCTTATTAGGTTTCCTTTAGAATTGACAAAGCATACTTCTGTTATTATGAGATAAAAATTGATCATACAATCGTGTAGTCATTAGAAAATGAAAAGAACCTAAATCGTTACAGAAATGACAATTTGTAAACGGAACAAAACGAGGCGAGAGATGTATAGTTCGCCTCCCTGTTCTAGCTTGTCTCACACACTCCCCTTCTCACAGAATGTAGTTGTCCTTTCCACAGTGGCTGCTGTGTTTTTGTACTGGGGGGGGGGGGGTATTTTTGTTTATTATTGATTTGGATTGTTCTTCTATTCTTTTTCTCTCTCAAACAAAAATCGAATACATTAATTGCACAAAAACAAAAATAGTGCAAAATTACCGTAGATCCACAATTTATCATAGATAATCCATATATGACGTGCCGGGTTTGTCGGCAATGTTGCTTCGTTTGCTTCTCTCTACCCAGGTGTTTAAAGGGTACTCTGTATGATGCTTACGTCATGTTAGTTTGGTCAGTATTGTGCACGTCTGTAAACTGGCGCCTGACTGGAATGTTCCCAAGGGAGAGGAGAATGTGGATATATATATTGTGTGTGCGGGCAAGCCTGAATCTGATGATTCTAAATCTGAATCTGTTCTGATCCGAGTCCTGACCTTCGGGTTCTAGGACTATTACTCCCTGGACAATCACCCCTGATCAGAAACCAGCGGGACAATTGTCCCCAAAGGGCAATTACCGAAACAGAGAATTATCCCCCGGGTAATTAGAAGAAGAAGAAGAAGAAGAAGAAGAAGAAGAAGAAGAAGAAGAAGAAGAAGAAGAAGAAGAAGAAGAAGAAGAAGAAGAGGAGGAAGAGGAAGAAGATAAGAGGATAATGGAGTGGATGAATAGGGAATCCTAATAATGAGATGCACTTTAGTGGGGAGAGAAGGAGACGATAAGGACAAAGAAGAATACAAAATAATAAGAAGAAAAAAGGAAAAAAGCTAGAAGGGAAAGGATATATTAATAATTTGACGGTTATGGGAAAAGGAGAGAAAAGAAGAAGACGGAGAAATAGAAGGAAAAACAGAGAAAGATAAACGATGATGAAAATAATTATTCTTTCTGAATCCACCACCACCACTATCACCTTCACCACCACTTCCATCATCATCATCAACACTATTATCATGATTATTATCATCATCACCCTCATCATTATCAGCAGCATTATTATCATCACCACCAACCCCTTCAACGCAACCGACACTATGTTGATGATGATGATAATGATCATCATCATCATTATAACTATCATCATCATTATCATCATCGTAATCATCATTATCATTATTTCATCATCGTCATCATCATTATCATTACCACCACCACAACCACCACCACGTCCATTATCATCACTGATTTTTCAAGTAACACAGTTCAGAATTTGGCCAATTTTATATTCTGAGTGATCTTCAATAATGTCAGACGGGTAGCGATTGGCGAACGGTGGACTCAGTTGACTCATATGACAAAATCGGGATAGCGCCATCTTCAATAAAATCAGTCAAGTTTTGGAATCTTACCACTACTACATGTACATCCACAACTCATACGACGACCACGACGACCACTACCAACACTTCCAACACTACCACCACCACTATCGCCAACCTCGTCACCACCAGCATCACCACCACCACCACTACCGTCACCACCTGCACTACCACCACCACCACAACAACAATCACCACCATCACTAGTACCATTTTTGTTTGAGACACCCCTTACAAAGATGAGCTAAATAGTTTTCTGAAGAAAAAAATTCGAAAGAAACTCCGTACCTTGATATATTTTGCCAGGATTAATGTTCACATGATACAGTCGCTATCTAACGACCACCTTGCCCATGTATTAAAATGAATAATACTAATGTAGTGAATTATAATCACACCTCGTCCTCTCTGATATCAAACAATATCTTGTTCATCATAGTGGTCCTATTTTAAGATGATATCACATCCAAGGAAGGTACATGTACTCCCGCCTTTAAATAGAATAGTTACTATCAATATTATGACGTCATTCAAAATACATTTCATTACTTCTCCTCGAATATATGAGCATAATTATTGGTAGTTTTGGCACTTACGACGCTCAAAGATTCAACATTTTAAACACATTTATTTTCTTCTCATTTATTAATTTATTTCATTTAAACAAAAAGAAAACAACTGGGAAAAGTATTGATGAAATAAAGAAAAGAATTGCAATGGCAAAGAAATATTTAATAGGATCTGTAATTAAAAATTAGAACATTACTATGAAAAACAAATTCGTGTCTTAGTCGGTTCTTTTGTACGAGTGTTAAACAATAAACAAAGTGCTTGAAAGAAGATTAGATTAGATTAGCTGCCGAGACCTATATTCTTGAGAAAGATTATGAATATATCATAGAAAGAAAAGAAAACAAATTAGGAAATGTTCAGACAAGCAAGAGTAAAACCATCACTCATCGACACAATAAGAAATATTCAAATGCAATTTCCTTGTGACATATACAAAGAGGATAATCTAGATACAAGTAGAAACAAATATTAACAGGGAATTTTGATGGAAAGAGAAGCAGGGGACGACAACGCCCTATATTATTTGCAAAGCCTGCACAAATGGGCAACTAAAATGAGATAAGAAATACCAGCTTTTTAATAATATCACATAATAGGCAGAAATGGAGGGCCATGACGGCCGATATCTGTAACACACCCGGCACTTGATGATGATGATGACGATGAAGATTTCCTACTCGCATCAAATGAATACGAAAATAATATGTTCATTGTACAGAGGAAAAATACGAGATTGCAGTGGACGTGGGTAGCAAACCGCATAATAAAGTACAATTGTAATGCAAATCCAGAACAATGAGTGCCATTGTGATTGCTTTAGCTATATTATGAAATGCTCTTTGTATGTTATCTACTTTAGAAATATCGAATCCCAAAATAGTAAATCTGACAATTCTTACAATATTATATTAAATTGGTATTTGTTCAATATATATAATTTTGTATTTTTATAGCTACCTGTCAATCACTTCGAGAAAATTACAATAACAAATAGACATGGTATATCAGATTAGGCATCAGAAGTTATGATATAAATGTTTTTTAATCATTTAAAATGTTATTTATTTATTTAACATTCATGGGTTGTATACTTGTATTGATATTTTCAGCTAATAGATGTTTTTAAAAGGAGCCCAAGTGTAAGAGAAAAATATGACTCGAGGGAGAGAGAGGGGTGGAGAAATAGAGAAAGGGGAGAGAGAGAGAGAGAGAGAGAGAGAGAGGGAGAGAGAAGAGGGAAACTAGAGGGAAATGGTGTTTGTGAAGTAATGCCATTTTTTCTAGCTTGCAAGGGATATTGAATTCATAATGAATACTTAAAAATATAATATTACATCGATGTGATGGAGGGATGGAGGCAATAATGTTCCTCTTAATCTACACAGTTAATCCTTCGTTGTATGGACAACGATGAAATGTGTATCATATGTATTGCAACCAAGACTTTATTATTATAAATGGTCCTATACCACTACAAAATATGTGTGCACCATCCTATACTGTTATTTCGTCGTCCAAAGTATATCGTGATATAAATATCAATAACAGTGTCTATAACACTCAAAATTTACACTAAAATAACGAACATTGAAATATGTATATTGAGAGTAAACGATTGACAAGTGAAATGCTAAATTGTTCAATGATATCCTACTACCTATAATTCTCTATCTCTCTAAATACTTTTGTATAATGGTCTATGATATCGCTGGTGGAACAGTTGTTGGTTTATAGTCTTCAAGCACACACTCTATTCGAAAACTATACAAAATTTTCTCTGCTCGAAGTTTACATAAGCTTGACAACTTCCGTATTCTAGTAACAGATACAAAATAAGTATTGTAAATATGCCAGTGTCTATGAAAGCATAGTCTAAGTTCAGTATAGCTCATATCCTGTATTATGTGATGTGGTTGCCAAGGTGGAGCGTCGGCAAACTAACAGATATTACGTTCAAATTATCTCATCTGCAATTAATATCTAACCAATAACCAAAATGCATGTTAATAACTATAATAGTATAGGCCTACACATTCTATCGGCATTAGCTAAACATAAATTGATATAAGGCTAGCTCTGAACACTTTCAATCATGATAATCACTTTAATCAGTCATTTCTAGCAGGATTCTAGAAGCCAGGATCGATGGAGTATTGTGGGTTTCTACAAACGCATCTTGATCCCCGGGCGCACTTCTCTCCGTTATATTTATAACATCCCATACGACCACAACACGGAGTCTTACCAGTGGGGCTACACGAATCTCCTTGGGGTACACAGGTCTGTCAATCAAAAAGAGTGAAACATTGAAATAAATATCGACGAATGACAACTTCTTGTGTTGTATTAAAGCAAGATAATAGACTTTGAATTGAATTTATGCGTAATCAAGGATTATAAAAAGCGAGTTTATTATAAGACGTTAGGAACAACACCAACAACAAGTTGATAATCGTTCAAAATGGCATTCTTGCCCTATTTAGTAATGTCGATTTCTTCTTATTCGCTGCTGTGTAAGCAGCCCTATAAGGTTTACAATCTTGCATGGACAATAGGAAACGATCAGTTAAAGCCCCACTGCACTACTTATAGCTACTTGCGCCCTCTATACATCCAACAATGCTTTAATAAGCGGTGCCCGTTGATCCCCCATAAAGCCCTTTTTCTTATGTCAATTGAGAGCTGATTTGATGAGATAAACACTTGCCAATGACCTTGCAGTGAGGTCCAATCCCTCCATGCCAAAGTAGTGCAGAGGGATTTTAAAGTAAGATTATGACAGAACAAAAGTAAAAGCGAAATGAGCTGATGATCACAAGGCGGCAGGCGAGGAAGATATATTAGAGGTCAGTGAGTATACAAATGATGCACAGGTTTGAGTGCGTCGGTAAGGATTGTGTGCATAAGGTACCTTTGAATGGTTTTAGACCAAATTCAAAGGTACCGCGTGCACACAATTCCACCGACCCACGAATTAAACATGTGCATTATCTGTTTTATAAGATGGGGCCCCAGAAATTGTCAAAAATACAAAATTTTGTTATTTTACAGATTTACCGGATGCATGGCGAAATCATGCGTCCAGTAATTACCGGACGCATAATTTTTTTTTAACCGGACGATTACCGACGATTTTTAACTTATCATGAAATTTAAAAAAATAAATAAAAAAATTGTCAGTGCACATTAAACTGCAAACTTAAAAAAAAAAAAAAAAAAAAAAAAAAAAAAAAATTATAGATTTTATAAATTTTTTAAATAGATTATAATTATCAAAAAACACGAAAAACAAACAATTATCACCAACAAAAAATTATCAAAAAAATCATTAAAAAAAAAAAAAAAAATTTTAAATTATGAAAAAAAAAGTTTAAAAAAAAAAAGAGAAATTAAAAAAAAAAAAGGATATCGGTGGTATCGATCGCCGATATCGCGTGCATCCAGTAAAAATAACTACATGGTAATTGACCAATCAGATTGCAGGGATTCTTCTACCCATCTCTTAATGTATATATATATATATATATATATATATATATATATATATATATATATATATATATATATACTCACGTATATTGGTCTGTTGTATGTAGGTTTACTGGCTCTCCTGTTTTGAAAATAGGCTTCCAATATTTTTTTGATAGTCGATGGGGAGGCAGACTGGAATTCCTGAATACAAAATGAAACCATGAGAATGTTACAGTTCTACTTGTAAAATATGTTTTAATTTCAAAAGAACGCATTTCCTTTACATTTTATGTAAGGAGGGGAGGATCTTAGCAAGAACGAAAAGACTGTAACGGTACAAGGGTTATTAAATGAATGAATGAAGAAATGAAAGAAGGCCAGTTGCAATAATTATAACGCGGGTATATAAATCGTTTATCACTTCTTATTATCCGTATGTTATTATCTTTATTAGAAGACTTACAATACAATTATTTTTAAACAAACTGACTACTATATTAATAGAGAGGAGTGGACATCTATTTTAAAAAGATTCATATTAGGGGCATTACGCATAGTGCGTATAGGCCTAGTACACAACACAAAAGTGATCGAATATCTTTCGCGTGGATTTCCATTTCAAAAGATTCCAGTACATTTATACAATACGTATTAAAAAAAGGACGCTCTTTGAAAATATGTTCTGAAATTATAACTTCATTATAATTATCTGCATGATTTTTATTACATAATTGCGAGATTTTCTTAATTAGCCAGTGGTCACTCAGGCGTAAACTATTGTCAATTCTTTAAGTGCAATCCGATTTAATAGACCTTCATCCATAATCTCTTAAGGAAAAATCATGCAGATATGCTGAAAAGATAATTTTTGAGGATTTTTCTTGAATTTCCCATTTTTAATAGCACTTTGTATACGCACTGTAGAGTACAACCATCGTTTTTTACCTCGACGTCTAGTGTATCTCCTGATGTCCTTACACACCGCTTAGCTGCCACAGCACCATGGTATGTAGCTAGTACACACAGCATGACCAGCGTCAAGCATGTAGTATAGACTCTCCATGTGACTGGCGCCATCGTATATGTCACGTGATGAGTATGGAATCTACCAATCAAATGGTTCTAAAGTTGGATAAAAAGACAAGGGTTTAAAGACGTCATAAAACGATGTCAAATATCAAGGAGGGGCTTATATCAAAACGAGAAAAAGATTGAGGTATCCAAGATCATAACAAACTTTAAAAGATGAAGTAGAACAAACATACACCGAAGGATGAGAGTGATCATGCCTTTTTTCATCTCATATTTTCCATTTTGTTGCATGTATAGTGAGTGCATCGTCACCGCCATAATTTTCTTAGAATGACAGAATAAAAGACAAAGGCAATCTGTAAACCACCTAAAGGCACGTCTTAAGTTTTGACCGAGTCATTCATCATCAAGTGATATGACCACCCTAAAGGGAAGAACTACAAACACAGGTACATAGTGTAAAACTATAACCGCTTTTTTTTAACAATCAATTATTCATTTGAACGTTTAGTTTTTCTTGACGCACAGCGATCCCTAAACCGCCCACAAACGTAATTTACATAATTCGAGCTATTTCCACAACTCGAGTGTCAATCGGCCCTCCGATCCGTGTTGCTACTCGATCGCCGTACGGACGTCAGTTTTCCTGCATGAAGTGACCATTAGATGAAGTGAAGTACCGCATGGACACGAAGAAGAGCTTTCAGCGAATGAATACCACGGACCTATTTCAAGATAAGACTGATATTATATTCACCCTAGGGCGTTCTTGTTTTCTCATAACTAATACACCGAGGAGTACTTTTAATCAAGGTTTCTGCTGATAAAGATGTTACCTGCTTGGACACAACCCATGTCAGGAAGGGCATGGAGGGGTCAATGGAGAGTTGAAGTCACAACCACAACAACATCAGCATACGAGGCTAGGTAGGGGCTGGGGTCTGGGGGCTGCAGCCCCTTCCCCTAAAACTTTGAATTAACAATGTTAATTGGGTAAACTGTTACCACTTGTTCAAAAGCGTAATGGTCTTCTCACAATTGTTACATCTTTCTATGGTTTGGTTTATTTTCCGTAGAAAAAATTAAAATACATACAAGAATACAAGCTACAAATAATACAAATCAAGAATTTAAAAACGGCTGGAAAGCTCTATTCAGAGCCATTTTTAAAATGACTCTGTTCTTCCTAGAGGCCTTCCTAGAGGTCTTGGTAGATATGTTATTTAAAAGACAAATTACGTTTTTTGTTTTTATTTTATGCGAACAAATTGAGACACTATCAAACGTTGACATTGAGACGTCATCCCTATATACGTCTACGACCAAGAATACGAGAATATCCAGGGCCCATAATTATCGTCTTTCAAATCTGAATTACAAATAGTCTGACGTAAATGAAACATGCACCATTCGTATTACATCTCATTGGATAGAACAAATGAAACTTTCATCATATTAAATTATTATATCATCACTACTGATGACCTACATGTATAATAGCCAACGTTACAATTTTCATTAAGGCACTTAAATTTAAATTGCAAAACATTATTGAGAAGGACATCTAATCCACTTTCTTTAATGGTTGCAATCTCTGATCTTGTAAAGTGAATGATAAATACATTCATCGATTATGATCCGGTTACCATGTTTCGTTTAACCCACTTACTACAAAGAGGTAACTGAAAGAATCCTAAGCATAACAGGGGCCGGGAGATTTCGGATTTGAATCCAGATTGTGCCCTGTTATTTTGTTGTAGAAGTGTAGGTCATCGTAAGGGACTTAATTTGATTCAGGTAAATTAAATATCCGTCACTCCGAACCACTATACAGCAATCGATTGAATTGTGATACTGATTATAATAATTTAAGCGAAATCAAATTACAACATTTTATATTGTTATATTTGTTATTGTTTTGCATTTCACTCCCAACTAATCAGTGTAAAATAAACATTGTTGCCTTGATAAAGAACAGAGGATTATCAATAAAATCAACGAAATGGCGTAAATATTCATAATTGAATGATAAACGCAAATAAACCTATTAAAAACAACAAACAACAACAGTGTTACAACAGCAATAATTTCGGAGCATTTTCTAGTCCCTCAAACTCACAAACCCCTGGTTTCGAGGAATTATGACATCTTGAAATTTATTGTGGCTGTAGCGAGGTCGACTACAAAGATAATTTTGGGACAAAAGTTTCTACAGGAATTTGTAGCTTTTATGATTGGAGTAAATCTTGTACTCCATACCATTCCATTCCGTGAAAACTGTAGAATAATGACACAGATACCATAAATACAAGTACATCAAATTCATAGCAATAATACAGTCTCTTGGTGAAACTCATAAAATACATTGTGTTATGATCTTTATAATCTATTGAGATAACCTCAGTTACTATTGGCTTTACATAAATTACAAACAGACCCTACGAGTATCTCAACTAGATTTAACTATAGCTTGAATAAACAAAGAACTAAACAATAATAAATTTAATGATTCTACTTAATGATTCAGCACTCTTATAATTAACCTTCGGAGTATGTAGCAGTACCTTCACTGTTATTCATGTCTTAGTACAAGGTCAAATGTACATACATCATAACAGCATAAGCTTGTATTTCTTACATAATAACGACGTACAACTGTACATACAAACATCAACATCTCTCAGTGTGAAGTCCAAAACACACACACTAATTTACACTTTATGTTTTGACAATTCATAAAAATACATTAAATATACAACAAAACCAACCTCTTGGTCTGCCTTTATGACAATAATATGGCTCAAATCCCCATGATACGCTGGCAAGGGGATCCTTTAACCTCAACACAGCCAAGTTCATGTTGACTTTTGAATGTGTATCAAGTGCACAGCAATATATGGTGAAATGCTAGGCACATTGCATGAGGAAATGCTATTACATAACATGCATGTAGTCATGTCATGCATCAATGGTACAATAAACAAATGACTTGAGTGATAAAGCAACTTCAAGTGCACTGTCACAACATTGGCCCGAATTCACAAAGGAGGTTTGTGTGCGTCATATGACGCGTTTTTACGTATTTAAGACCAAGGTTTGTCTGGACCTTGGTCTGAAACGCATCGAATGCATCGAAACACGTCATTTGCACATAAACCTATGTTTGTCGACAAACCTCCAATCGGGCCTTATGTGTCTAACGCCCCCGGCGTCTTTCCGTAATGTAATACTTTCGCGCTTGTGACTTTGTTCTCAATCTTACTTTACACCCCCTCCCCCTGTCTGTCTGCCACTCCCTATACCCTTCCCCCAACATCAACAAACATGTTATCGTAGGAAGCGTCTTCGTCATGTTGTTTCCATAGACTTGGTTATTGTTATCTGGAAACTACTCAGTGAAGACCAAATCAACCATGGCGCCTCTTCTGCTATTGGAAAAGCAGTATCGTCAGAGGGCGCAAACCCACCATGTTCGTTCACCTGCGGCTGTAACGTACTTAAGGGACTTACATTCCATCGATAAACTATTTTTGGAGGTAATTTTCCTATCAGACTACATTTACATTTCATTGAAAATGAACTAGCAATTTATCAGGATGATAATCATATCCTGAATGTTGCCCCGCAATGTTTGTTTGAATTTATGCCGTTGGCACAACACGTGTAACGTGCATTATGCGGCCCTTGTCGACAATGTTTATCCAATAGGAATAAAGCGCTTTGGGTGACGTTAGAAAATTAAAAAACTTATTTTGATTGTTAATGTATATAGGCGTTGGTTTGGGAATTGCTCTTACATCCATTTCCATTGGCATGATTTAGCTGAGAGTGAGCATTGTAAAAAAAATACTCAAGAAATTGACTGTTAATCAATTCTGTCTAGCCAATAACATGTTTTTGCTGGCTGAAAACATGCGGAGAAATATGTACAACTCTGAGTAATTAATAATACTGTCATCATTCTTTTCGTGTTTTGGGGGATATATAATAAGTTTCTTCTATGATAATCTACACAAAGATTAAAGGGATAAATCGAGACATGACGAAGGAGTGGGTAAGGAGAAGAAGGAGAAGAGAGTGAAATAAGAGAGAGAATAAGGAAACATGTAGACAAGAAGATTAAGTAGAAAGAAAAGGAGAATAATATTAAGAATTTGAAAGAGGAGGAGGAGAAGTTCATGAACATAAAATAAATATAAGATGATGCTGAAAAGACGGCCAGTCAAGGCCAGTTTGCATGTAATTAATTCAAGAGAAAGATCCTTCAGTTAATTTTAGCTTCAAACTTTTCCTGTTTTCTAGCGTAATGCCACTGGCCCAGAACACAAGACACCTTAAACTCATAAATATGCTTCCTCACACCAATCTAGTATTTACATACCCGTGCAATTTCAAATCACAAGGATCATTGAGGAGGGTTCATTTCCAAACCAGCGTGTCCTTGATGGGGAACAAAATTCCGACTTGAATTTATACATTGGGATGTTTTTCATGATATTCATTGTTTTAGATCTTCTTTCTCGAAGGCGAATTAGATAGTTTGTGAAATTCTACATAAGTGTGTAATTGAACCAGCCAATACAATTTGCCTTCGGATGCACTAAGCGAATCTGAAAATAGTTGGTTTCAGGGGCGGATCTAGCTTTTTGCTAAGGGGGAGGGGGTGTTTGACCCAGTGGATCCAGGATTTTCCAAGAGGGGGGAGGGGGGGCGGCCGAAATTTTACTCTTTTTTTGCCAGCACAAGGGGCAGTGGCGTACCTGGGGTACTCCGTCAGGGGGGGCAAGCGACCGAAACAAACAAAAAAGGCGATGCTAATTTTCACTTCTGGCGAGCGAGCGAGCAAAAAAAAATCTTTAAGGAACGTTTGGTATATAAACTGGTATTGTTGCAAGTTGGGGGTGGGAACATTCACTTGTTAGCGACGTTAATTTCATTTTTTTGCAAACGAGTGTAGCGAGCAAGAAAAAAAATCACTTCTTTTTTAATAATTGCCACTTAAACGTGGTTCAATTGTCCCATGCAGGGCGCGGGAACAATATTGTGTTTAGGGTGATTTTATACCAATTTTAGCTAGCGAGCGAAAATAC